ACTGTACGACAACAACTTTCAACTGGACCTCAAGCTTTTCAAGTGTCAGGACCCAGTCATTCTCTCAATCCTGCAAAAACATTACCTTTGGACCGCATTCAACGAAGCCAAACCAGTACCAATGGTATACCTGCAGCAATTCTGGGGCTGCATGCGAACTGAGAGCAAGAAAGATCGGTCTAAGATCATGACCAAGCTGAATGATGTAAGAGCGGTGCTGACACCCTCTACAATAAGGGAGACTCTGAATCTCCCGGTGCTCCAGAACTATGCACCGCTACCCACCAATGAAGATCTGATCACAGACATGAAGAAGCTAGGGTATGAAGGACCGCTACCCCTGATCTCAAACTTTACCATCTCAAACCTGCCCCACCCGTGGAAGAGTCTGTTCGGGCTGGTGAACAAGTGCCTATCTCCTAAGCACGCCGGACATGACAAATGCAACAAACAAATTCTCCAAATCTTCCACGGGATCGCCTTCAACGTCAAATATGACATGGCTCAGCTCTTCTGGACGGAGTTGATGGATCAAGTGAAGATGAAGGAGAACAACAAGGGGAGCACTATTCCCTACGCTCGGTGGCTGGCGCTGATGATCCACAATATGATGGACGCCACCCCTACAATCCCTAAGCGTAAGGAAGACAAGCACTTCACTGCGCCAAAGCTCAAGTACCTTCAACGAGACAGTAACAAAGCTGAAGCACTGCCTATTCCGGACTCCCTGCTTGATCTAGCAAACCCGAGGGACAAGGCAGTCATTGATTACAAGAAGGAGCTTGAGAGGACGGTCCCTATGGTTCAGCAAAACCCAGCTGGACCTTCCCAAGGGACCAAGCCGAGTGAACGTGAGGGTAAGAAGAAGAGAGCCCCGTCACAGAAACCAGTGGCAACCTGGCCTAATGATGATCAGTCTGCTAACTCTTCCGAGAGGACCCAGACTGCTGAGGGCCACCCTAATGCTGAGGACACTGCCAATGAACCATCTAGCCAGGCCCCTTCTAATAAGGCAGGTGGTGAGGCCTCCGATAGCATGGCCAAAGGGAATGAACGAAGAGATGACGATGATGATGATGCAGATGATGATGATGACATGGAGGGAGTTCTGATCAGCAACAGGAAAAGAGCCGGAAAGAGGGCCATTCCGATAGACTCCAACTCCTCATCGGACAATGAAGAGGCTGTTCACATGTCCCGACCACTTAAGGGCATTGTCATCAGTGAGCAGCGCTCCAAACACAACAACGACAAATCTGCATCATCACAGCCTAAGAAGAGGCTAAGAAAGAAGAGTGCAGTGGAGGAGGAGCTGGCACTATACGATGACTGCGACACCTTTGTCACTATAGACCGAACCACGCCCCTAGGAGCAGGAGCTGACCTTGTCAGTTCCCGGGTAGAAGTCGCAGCATCCGGTTCAACTGCGCATGCACAGCCATCTCCCATCCACTCTCCAGTCTCCCAACAGACTGGGGTTTCAATAACTCAAGGGGAACTTACACCGACCTCACTGATTCATTCCGAATCTGCTGAGAGACTTAGTGGTCAACAGCCCCGGACTACTTGTAACACCCTGGCCCCGCAGGACCCGAGGTAGTTACTCCGGACCAATAGTACTGTCCTCACAAACCACCACTAGCCTTTACCGCGCACTTTGTCCTCACTCATGCGCGCCCTGAGAAACTTCCCAGGGGGTCACCCATCCCAAGACTACTCCCGAGCAAGCACACTTAACTTTGGAGTTCTTAGGTAATGAGCTCCCTTAAAAGGAGATGCACCTCTGTTGGTATGAGTAGTACTATTAATCCGTTTATATTAAATCTCAAGTGTTACAATCACCCCCACTTAGGATCGCAACGTCCTCGTTGCGCCCTTGAACCAATCTCAAATCTCAATCAAATCCCAGAATCTTCCCCCACTAAGTGCCCGCCCGATATCCAACGGGTCATCACACTGTCGCGGGGTTGCTCTGATACCACCTGTAACACCCTGGCCCCGCAGGACCCGAGGTAGTTACTCCGGACCAATAGTACTGTCCTCACAAACCACCACTAGCCTTTACCGCGCACTTTGTCCTCACTCATGCGCGCCCTGAGAAACTTCCCAGGGGGTCACCCATCCCAAGACTACTCCCGAGCAAGCACACTTAACTTTGGAGTTCTTAGGTAATGAGCTCCCTTAAAAGGAGATGCACCTCTGTTGGTATGAGTAGTACTATTAATCCGTTTATATTAAATCTCAAGTGTTACACTACTACCCCCATCCGTTCTATCACATCGAGTCTAGGTGTCACCATTCCTACATTTTCACATTTTTCTAGGACAGCTACACTATTCACTGCACATACAGGTGCACTCACCCTGAATGCAACGACCGGAGTGCAAACTATGATGGTCGGAAGCCCTGCTACGCCAACAATGCCTCAATCATTGAACGCAGGCCACACATCAGCTATCTTCACTGATGCTGTGACAACAGTTACAACCCCTGTAACTGGTGCCATTATCCCCGAAGACATTCTCGTATATCTGAATAGCTTTCTAGAGTCTACCATTAAGCCATGGGTGCATGAAGCAATAACCGCTAATGCACAAGACTCTGGAAGTACCCCAGTTGTTCAGAATATACCATCCAAACCCCAGACAACACAGCCCCCAACCATTTCCATACCTGTTTCCAAATCCTTAGCCATAGAAAACCAACAACCATCCACATCAAGGGGAACCCAAGATACAGAACTAGTATTCTCCCCTACAACGACCAAACCCAACCTAACAACCATACCCTTCGAGGATCTTGTAGCTGAGATCTACGACCGTATACTAGACGTGGAAGAAGGCAACCTCACCCCTCTTCAAAAAGCCCTTCTCCATGCTCTAGATACACAGAACACATGCCGTGACAGTCTCCGTGGCGCTAAACGTTCACATGAGGATCCTGATGATTCGGATTCTCATGAGGGGGAGAACAAGCGCCAGCGGATACTTGAGCATGTTGCTTCTACTAGCCAACCCTCAAAGCCAAACCAACCCTCTACCTCTACCAATGAGCAACCCACTACTTCAGCTAGCCATAAATCCCTAGCCACTCTCTCTAGCATGGTCGAGCTAGACATAACATCCCGAGGTGCATCTCCTATAGATGTTAACCAAGGACGGAATGGAAGTCCTGATGATGCTACCACGAGTACATCTTCTTACTCAGGCCATCAGTTAGAACCTAGTTCGAAACTGATGTCAACGGGCAATCCTGAGGATCCCGGTGTTTCACTTTTTCAGACAAGGGAGGATTGGCCGCATGTAACGAAGTATAGAGGTCTGGTCTCTGCGCAAGAGCATCGTGTTGAGATAATTGAGGATCCCTGCAAGTCTCACCAGGATCCCGATACTACGCCAGGCGTGTCGCCACAGCAGCAACAGGCTTCCTCTAGCTACTACAATGATCAAATGCATGATGAACTTGAGGAAATGTTGGTGCATAACAAATGGTCTGAACTCTGGACAGATGTAGATGAAGCACAGCGAAGAACATATCTCAGAGATCTCTTAGTCAACTGTGCTACTGATGTGATTCTACTTGATCAAAACGAACTCAAGGAGGGAGAAAACTACGAGACACCACCTAAGGAGCTTGAGTCGATCATTAGACAAACAGCTGCTCAAATGCCCAGAAATGAGAAGCCCTGGGAAAAGATCGACATCAACGCCCCCTTCCAAGAAGAAATCAGAGAAAACATCTGGCGAAAAGAGGATAAGGTCAGAGAACTGGATGAACTGAAGATCTGTGGTCTTAACCATCTACGAGGACAAAACAAGGGTGGACAGCTATTTCTACTCAGTCATCACTATATGGGACAACAGAGAGAAGTCTGGCAGCACGAACTTCAAACTGCCAAAGACCCAGTCTGGGCTATTCTCAACGTGGGTGAAACAAACTCCCAAGACATCAAACTCTCTGTCTACCATCTACAACGGTCTGACGGAACAGAATTCACGTGCAAGGAAAATGATCTCTATATGCTAAAAATGGATGACATATATCAGATGTATCTTGCATTTCAAGAGATTCCGGGCACTCGTGACACAACTACACAGAATGGGCTGGATGCACTCAAGCGCTTTATGCTCAGACAAATCAAATTCTTTGCCTCCCATGATCTTCAGATGGCGCTTGAAACAAACATGCCAAAGACAAATCTCACAAAGCCAAAGCTGTATGGACAAGAACTTGAGGACTTCCCTGAGTATTACATTTTTGATAGACCAATCACGCTTATCTATCTAAATCATAATGGTGAGAAACGTATGCTATTCATTGATGAAATCAACAAGTACTGTGACGGAACCCTGAAGATTGTGAAAGAAAAGCTGCAACCGATCAGAGAAGCATTCAAAGAAAGACAACAACAGTATGCAGATGCGACAGATGCCGAATTAAAGGAAGCACACAGAATAGACAAAATTCTACAGGCTATCCAGAAACAACTTGATAGAAGAAACTCACTCAGAAACTATGAGCACGCACTTAATCTCAGAAAGAACTATTACAAAGCTCAGAAGTGAAGAAACCCAGCAAGACGGCACTTGACCACAAAGGGGGAGATTGTTAGAACTTTTATTGTGGGTCAAGTTTGTCTGTAATGTCTTGTTTAAATAAAGTAGACTAGTTATACCATTTATGGTATTAGATTAGTATTTAGTATTTATTATGTAGCAAATAAGGTAAAGGGAATAAGGCCCAAAAAGGCCTTGGCCCAACTTCCAAGGTTTACCTAAATCGGTAACCTGTACAGCGCCTATAAATATGCGCCTTGTGTACAGGTACCGATATCGATCAATACACATTAGCCTTACGCTGCCAAATTTACTTCTCGATACTACAGAAAGAAGGTTTCACTGTTCTCGATAAATCTTATATCATTATATGAAATCCTTCTCTTCTGTCTATCGATGATGTTCATCTAGCTGATCGTTAGTCTGCAAAACTGGGACCAACAAATACCGTGATGGAGGAAGGCCAGATATGAACCAAGCTGGGCCAAATGGAGGACAAAATAACAACAATGCCGCCGCCAACAACAACCGCAACCCTCGAGGAGGAGGGGAGAATAATCATGGCAATGGCAATGGCGGGAACAATGGCAACGGCGGAAACAACGGCAACCGTCCGAACCAAGGGCGAATCATGGTGATGAATCAGGCCCAAGCCAATGCTAATGATGTGGTTTCAGGTACATTCCTTGTAAATTCTGAGCCTGCTTATGTTCTATTTGATTCTGGTGCTTCTCACAGTTTCATATCTTCTAGTTTCGTTAAGAAATTGAAGATTGAACCAACGGCTAGAATAGACTTGAATGTAAGAACCGCCTCAGATAAATTTGTAACTTGTGGAAATGTATACTCCAACATTCCCATACTCATATCTGAATCCAACCTACCTGGAGATTTAATCCAATTTGACTTAAAAGATATTGACATAGTACTGGGCATGGATTGGTTGGGGAAATACAAAGCCAGGATCCTCTGTGATGAACAGAAGGTGATCTTGAAGGGTCCAAATGGGAAGCGAATATCTTACAAAGCAATCACATCCAAGCCTAGTATGAGGCTGATGACTATGCAACAATTAAGGCGACATATCCGAAAGGGGTATGAAACATACCTGTGCTTTATGAAAGAGGTGAATACAGGGGAGCCAAACATTGACCAAATTGCCGTAGTCAATGAATTTCCGGATGTATTTCCGGAAGAGATTCCAGGGATGCCACCCGAGAGAGAAGTTGAATTCTCAATTGAGTTGATGCCCGGAACCGCGCCAATTTCAAAAGCACCTTACCGGATGGCACCGAAAGAAATGCAGGAGCTGAAGGAACAACTAGAGGAGTTGTTAGAGAAGGGGTACATAAGACCGAGTGTCTCACCTTGGGGTGCTCCGGTCTTATTTGTCAAAAAGAAAGATGGGAGTCTAAGGCTATGCATCGATTACCGAGAGTTGAATCAAGCAACTATCAAGAACAAGTACCCATTGCCCCGAATTGACGACTTGTTTGATCAATTGAAGGGGGCTAGCACATTCTCTAAGATAGACTTGCGCTCTGGATATCATCAAGTGAGAATATCCGAAAAAGATGTACCAAAAACAGCATTCCGCACGAGGTATGGACACTACGAGTTCACTGTGATGCCGTTTGGTTTAACGAATGCACCGGTGGTATTCATGGACTTAATGAACCGTGTATTCCGACCTTATCTTGATACATTTGTGGTGGTATTCATCGATGATATTCTTGTGTATTCAAAAACCCCAGAGGATCACGAGAAACACTTGAGACTCACGTTACAAACTTTGAGAGAGAACCAGTTGTATGCCAAACTCTCAAAGTGTGACTTCTGGCAGGATCGGGTAGCGTTCTTGGGTCACATCATCACCCAGGAAGGCGTATCCGTAGATCCATCAAAGATTGAAGCGGTGGTTGAATGGCGTGCACCTACCTCGGTCACAGAGGTAAGAAGTTTCTTGGGTCTAGCGGGATACTATAGGAGATTTGTTAAAGATTTCTCCAAGATAGCAAGACCGCTAACCAACCTGACAAAGAAGACAACCAAATTCCAATGGAATGAAGATTGTGAAGCAGCATTCCAAGAGTTGAAGAAAAGACTCACAACTGCGCCGGTCTTGACACTACCGTCAGGGACGGAGGGATTTGATATCTATAGTGATGCATCCAAGAAGGGGTTGGGGTGTGTGCTGATGCAGAATAGGAAAGTGGTGGCTTATGCATCAAGACAACTAAAGGTGCATGAAGTCAATTATCCTACCCATGACCTGGAGTTAGCTGCAGTAGTGTTTGCTTTGAAAATCTGGAGACATTACCTATACGGAGCACATTGTAAGATATACACTGACCACAAAAGCTTGAAGTACATATTCACTCAAAAAGAGCTTAACATGAGGCAAAGAAGATGGCTCGAGCTTATCAATGATTACGATCTAGAAATCCAATACCACGAGGGAAAAGCTAACGTGGTGGCGGATGCTTTGAGTCGGAAATCTGAGCACTCATGCCGAGCAACATGGATATTACCAGAAGAACTATTCCGAGACTTCCAAAGATTGAGCTTGGAAGTAAAGCAATATGGCGAAGTAGATGGTGAAATATAGTTATGCACTATGACTGTTATACCATCTATCTTTGACGAAATCAAGAACGGACAACCGGGAGATGTAAAGCTCGAAAGAATCAAGGAAGGAATGAAAGATGGCGTCAACGGACCATTTAAGGTACATGAAGATGGGAGCATCCGATACAAGGGAAGGTGGTGTGTTCCACTGAAGTGTACAGATATTAAAAAACAAATCATGGAGGAGGGACACAACACGCCCTACTCGGTACATCCCGGGGGAGACAAACTATACAAAGACCTCAAAAAGAACTTTTGGTGGCCGGGAATGAAGAAAGAAGTAGCTGAATTTGTATCCCGATGTTTGAACTGCCAAAAAGTCAAAGCGGAGAGATGCAAACCCAAGGGACTCGTGCAACCCTTGGAAGTACCAACATGGAAATGGGATTCAATCTCAATGGACTTTGTCGGGGGTTTACCTTTAACAAAGTCCGGGAAAGATAAAATTTGGGTGGTAGTGGATAGATTGACCAAAACTGCAAGGTTCATTCCTATGAATGAAACCTGGAGCATGGAGAAACTGGCAAAAGCCTATGTCAAACACGTGGTCAAACACCACGGAGTACCTCAAGACATCGTATCAGACCGAGATTCACGATTCTTATCCCAATTTTGGAAAGAATTACAAACGGCTATGGGAACAAAATTGAAGTTAAGTACTGCTTTCCATCCAACCACGGACGGACAGACCGAAAGAACAATCCAAACATTAGAAGACATGTTGAGGGCATGTGTTCTTGATTTGCAAGGATCATGGGATGAACACCTAGACTTGGTAGAGTTTTCGTACAATAACAGTTACCATGCTAGCATCAGAATGGCCCCATACGAAGCTCTATATGGTCAAAAGTGTAGGAGTCCCTTATGTTGGGGTGACATGGTCGATCAGGTGGTTCTAGGACCACAATACTTGCAAGATACTATTGAGAAAATCAAGGTCATCCAAGAAAGGATGAAGGCTGCCCAAGACCGACAGAAATCATATGCCGATCTTGGGAGAAAACCAGCTGAATTCGAACTAGGGGAGAAAGTTCTACTCAAAGTCTCTCCTACAAGAGGCGTAATGAGGTTCGGGAAGAAAGGGAAACTAAGTCCGAGATTCATCGGACCCTATGACATCCTAGAGAAGGTGGGAAAAGTGGCATATCGATTAGCTCTACCCACGGAGTTGGATAAGGTAACAACCGATTTGAAATCAAATACTTCTCTACGATTAAAATACATTCTTAACATACCGATATATGCTAGGTACATAACGTCTTTCACGTATCACAATTAAAGAAGTATGTTCGAGATGAGTCACATATCATCAATCCGGAGGTAAGAAATCCTAGACTTAACATGAGCCAAACGTAAATTGAAAAGAATATAAGTTAACCGTTATATTATTAGGTGATTGAAATGGATGAGACATTATCCTACGAAGAAAAACCCATAGAGATTCTCGATACTAAGACCCGAGAGACAAGGAAGAAGACAGTTAAGATGGTAAAAGTACTTTGGTCAAACCATTTGACCGAGAATGCAACATGGGAGACAGAAGAGGATATGCGTAAACGGTATCCTGAACTTTTCAATTAAGGTAAATATTCGGTTACGAGGACGTAACCTTTCTTTTAGGGGGGCAGGTTGTCATATCTTATAAACCTATAATAATTCATCTTCATACTTAATTCGCGTCTTAGTTTATGCTTCGAGGACGAAGCATTCTTTAAGGAGGGTAGAATGTGATACCTTGAAAATTTGAAATAAAAATAAATAAATAAATCAGATAAGTTATATCTGATAAATCAAATGAAAGTAAGATCAAAATATTTTTTTTATACTTGGTGTATAAAAATATACGCACACTACATGCAATGAAAATTAAACACTTATGTGGCATCGGAAAAAAATAAAATAAAATAAATAAAAATAAAAATAAATCAGATAAAATATATCTGACAAGGTAAATAAAAATAAATATCAAAGTATTATAAGTGACATTTTGTAACATGTAATAATATACATATACACATAAAATGTAACTTGTGGATGACAATCATACACATAGGTGTTCACAATAATACAAATAGAGGTAATAATATATGCAATGAACTTGCGGACTAGACTTAGAATGCATTAGAACAACCAACATTTACACATGCATGTTCATAATACTATGTATAATAATATTGAATAATAATGAAGAAATAATTCAAACCAATCACTCCATGTATGATTCAGCCTAGAATGATCGATCTACAGCTATAAATACAGCTTCCTTCCCATTCTAAATCACCACAAAGTGAAGAAAACGAGTAGAGAATATATATATATATATACTTACTCGCCGGAAAAATACACATATATAAATTTACGTAAGAAATTGCCTATAAACAAGAGAGGAGGGTCGTGAGAGGTCTAGGAACATTTCCCAATAAATTCCAGACCGATTCGTAGTCACCGGAGCATCCTAGAGGTCGCCGGAGTTGCAAGCCAAGGAAATGGGTCTTCAGCAAGTGCGGAAATTTGGCCGTAGATAGGGGTGGCGGAGCTTCTCCTCGACGTCAGGATCATTTTGCAACTTGAATCGTTTAAATCCGTTACCTGAAAGTAAAGTTATCGCTCGCCGAAGTTTTCGGGATTCCGGTCGCCGGAATCGCGACCTGGAGAAGCTGGGAAGGAGACAACCCAGTCTTCTTGGGCCGGGTCGCGAATTTGGGCCGGTTCGGCCCATTTTCAATAAAAAATTAAAAATAAAATAGTAAATGAAATAAATAAAATCTGGAAAAATATAAATTAAATACCTGGTATAAAAATACATATTCGGACCAAGAATAATTGAAAAATAATATTTTTAGCTATTTTTAATTGATTTAATTGTAATTGGGCCAAGTTGTACACATTTAGTAAATAATTAACTAAATGACGAAAATAATTATGAAATAAATATGGGTGCAAGCTAGATTAAATATATGACTAAATAGGACATTTGGGACCATTTATAATTAATAAAAATTATAATTAGCATATTTAATTGTAATTAAACCGGTTAATAGATATATGAAATTAAGTGAATAAATAAAGGAAATAATTCTAAAATAAATATCTGGACAACCTAGGTCTAGTATAGACCCAAACTATAGTTATGGATGATTAGTAATTTATAAAAGTGATGATTAAGTTATTTAATTTAATTGAGCCATATAAACTAGTTAAGTAATTAAATAAGGAAATTTTGATATTAATGGTGAAATAAATAAATCACTAAGATTGAAAATAATGTTCTGGACTAAAAATGATGTTTGTAATAAAATAAGGAAAAGAAAATAAAGTTGGGTTATCTAGTATAAATGAATGACTATATTTGGACTTAATAAATAAATTATTGAATTAGTTGACTAATTAAATTAGCGTGATTAAATTAATAATTATTATCCTTGATTATTAGTGATTTGGACTCCATATAAATTATTAAACTATTTGAACTCATAAAAAATTAGTTGATGAATATAAACAAATTAATTAAGTAATGTGTACTTAATAAGTTAGTTAATTGACTTCATTGGACTAGTTTAACTAAATCAATTAGTTTAATGGATAAATTAGTTAATTTATAGACTTGATAACATCTCTGGACTTTATATTAAAAATAGAAAATTAAAACGAGATTAGAATTTGATTATTGGACTTAATTGAATTAGATTAACGTATTTAGCTATATTGATATAATTAAACTTATTTATTTGATTTAGTTAGTTCAATTAAATTAGTGAGTCAAATAAATAAAACTGGAGGATTGGATAAATTAATTTAATTGGGTTAGTTAGTATAAATAAACGATTGAACTAATTAAAGTTGTTATTGAGATTAGATTATCATTAATGATTATTATTTCGAATTATTGCCTAAGTCAAGTTATTATTAAAAGGGTTATTAAATAAATTATATAAATTATGTAAACTGAATTTTGAACTGAAATTGATTATCTAAATTCGAAATAATGAAATTATTATGTAGTAA